GGCAGCTCGCGACCGTGAAGGATGGAGGGTCACTACACATCAACCTCTGAGTCAGAGATGACATCATCAGGTCGTTTTAAGTGATCAAAGAGTTGTATTTTTCAACATTTTGTTTTGTTCATAAGCTTTGTCTTGTGTGAAGAATTTGTCACACCTCATTGTTTGTCTTTTTTTTTGCTTTCCAGCTTATTCTGTTCATTCAACGGTAGCATCACATTTCAAACGCAGTTGTTATAGAATAATTGTTTTTATTTATTTTCTTGGCAAATGGAATATTAGTCTTGATGACAGAAGTAAGGGCACCTTTCATTTTCGAATTTATGCATAGAACGTTGTCGAAAAATAACCGAATTCTGAAGGCAGAGTTTATCATAGAGAATGTGGGTTCTTTCTCATACATGTAAAAAAAAAAAAAAAGATTTAGGCTGTTTCGGCCTAGTCTTTCAGACCAAACCCGTGAGTACGGAGTCTTTTATCTCATTAGAATGGCAGAAATTCCGTATAAATATAATTTCTCCTCTTGGGAATCGAACTTGAGTCATATGCATGAGAGGTAAAAAGTTTAACGATTACCTCGCAGAAGCCGAGGGGATCTATGCGTCAAAGGAGAATTTTTCATTTGAACGAACTGTTTAATACATTTCGAATTTTTACGAGTTCCTCATCTGTATTGATTGATAAAGTTAAACTGTATTTTTCTTTCGCACTGACGACGATTCTGTTACTGAGCAGTTTAAACTGATTCGGAATATCAAGAAAAATATAATCTGCTTGTTTGGTGCGCCATTCACTGAAACTTTTGAACCAGTGCGAGCGTTTCATCTTGGTGCAGAAGCTCAGTATTTACATTTTAAACGCAATCCCCTTCTCTCTAGAGACAAAATTAATCATTGGCATTTCTTTAGCTCTTCTACGCCACTGGTATGACCCTGTGATTTATTTTATTGTATCTTCTCAGGGTTATTTATTTCAAACTACGTCACTTTGGCTCGTTGGATAGCTCTGCTTGGCTCTCCGGAAATAATCGCGCTAAATAAAGCTTTTCAGAAGAAAAAGAAAAGAATCTTTCTCTTTCACGAAATGTGTTTCCATTTAACTTTTTTTTGTTTTTTTGTTTGTTTGTTTTGTTTGTTTGTTTGTTCAACAAGCAGTGGCGGACATTCGGAATCTTGTCGAGTCAAAACATTATAACATTATTATCATACGTACGCAATTGATTTAAAGGTAGCAAATAGATATATTACATATTACCAGGAGGTGAAACTTCTATACGAAAAGAATAAACACAAAAAGTTCATTTTCGGGGTGTAGTGCAAAATTTACTCGAGTACCGTCAGATACGTTTTTCTTTCTTCAATTTTCAGCCCACTAAGCCACGCACTCCACCTTCTAAATGGCAAATCTGTGTCTAGCAGAGGTTTAGTAAAGACGTGGCAGCAAACAAAACAACAACAAACAAAAAAATAACGAAGCAAACAAGCATCAGATAAATGTCGGAAAAAAAGAAAAAACAACCGGTTGACATGGCGCGCATGTTAGGAGCTAACAATGTATAATCTCGAACGATTCTCGTTATGCTGTTCCCATATAAACGTTGAAAAACTATTAAGCAAACGAGCTTACGGGAACAAGAGTCGTGGTGAAATTATACAACTTGAACTGAACGCTCAGCGAGAAACAAATAGACACAACATGAGCTTTGGTGGAAAGTGGCGGGACATGTTGACACAAGAATACAGAGACACGACATTCGGGCGCGAGCGTGTGGTTTGGTTTGGGGGGGTTAACAGATAATTTGTTTTAGTAGAGGTTTTACGGCGCTTGCAACTGCATAAGGTCATATGAGAGCCAATGGGTCGATGTCAACAGAGAAGTCCTTACAGGGGATCAGACTTACTCTGCTCACCTCTCAAGCTTCAACAGCACAAGGTCTGCTTCGACTATCAAGGAACCCCGGAAATAGCGGGTCACAAGAGTGTGACAAATATACAAAAGAAATAGAGGAACATGACGATAGTAAGGATTAGGAAAGAAAAGGCAGCAGCTCCCTGTTGTAGTTCAGGCATGACATAGATGGATCAGCCCATTTACAATTCTACTGTGCATTAGAACGAAAAATATCTCCCCTTTGGGAATGGCCTGCAGACACTTCAGTCAGTGGCACCGCCCGGGTGTAAACAGATAATGAAAGGGAGCGGGGAGATAGAGTCATATATTTATTGACTAATCAGTCAGTTCATTAATTACAGATTAATCAGGTTAGCCATTTTCTAAATTGATTTAATGATCTATTTATCTAAACATTCATCCATTTAACTGAATTAAGATTTGTGTTTGTTTATTGATTAATTAATTTTTTGGTGGGGGGAGGGAATCCAGTAGTTTCATACTAGCCTTCAAAGGAAAGTGCTGAGGAAAGTAACTACATTTACATGCAAAAAATACAAATCACCAAAAATATGTGCCATAGACAACAGAAGTGGCCAGTAGTCCTCCCCCCTCCCTCTCCGCCCCCTCTCTCTCTCAACAAAAATGTTTAAAATGCTATTTTAAACATGAAAACTGATATTTCTAAAACTGATTTTCTACCGTGAACTTTTAAACCTCAAACATTCCGACTTCACAAAGTAAAACCAAGCCGTGCTGTGAACAAACGTGAAAAACTTGAGTCCCGCGCTCATACAACCCTGCGTAGTTGCGAGCGCCGTAAAACTTACATGACTGCAACTGAAACAACACACGCTTAAAGCTTCCCAGTTAGCAATAAACAAAGAAAACGGACACAGGTTGGGTTTTTGTTTGTTTTTGTTTGTTTTGTTTTGTTTTGTTTTGTTTTTTCGGG